ACTCCGTTATTTTCTTGCAAGTCGTTTGCCCAAGAAAACACAAAAGCACAAGGATAAGTCCTAAATGCCAACCCCCTGCACCTTTTACTTAAAATCAACACTCCATTCAGCCCCATATAGACAAAAATCTTCTTATGTATATTTATGATTCTTTGATTTTGTTCCTCCCGTCCTCCTCCTTCTCAATACAAATTAACTAACTCAACCCTTAGCCCGGCAGAAGGGGGAGGAGGGGGGCAAAAACAACCAACAACGTTCTCTTCCTGGCTATGTTTGTCCACGCTTTTTTGTGACGCCTCGTTTACAGTAGGCCTACTCTAAACTTTAAAAAAAAAGTGACTGATGAGTAGAATTCGGAGATCCAACAGCCAATCAGCAGACAGCTACTTGGTGAATACAATTCAGTTCGTGCTCTCTTAGGGCACTTTGAGCAGAAATTAATCAGTTCGAAGCTGGCGACATTTCGGGTACTTGTGATTCCAGTAGTAAAACTACATTGGACACTGCCTTTCCGTCTCCTGTGCCAATGAAACCGAGGCGATCAGGCGACACATAGAGATTTAGATTTCATTATATCTTAGCAAATATTCAGGTATGTTATTTGTTTTCGTATTTCTTGATATTGAACCGTATTCCAATTCTTAATAATAATAATAGATAGCATTTGTATAGCGCATATCCCCGCTCAACAGCAGGCTCTATGCGCTTTACACTATATTATTTCTTATTATCAAGTCCTCATTCTTCGTCTCTCCCCATTCCTCCTCATTACTCATTGTACATATTGTGCGTACTGAAAGGTCATTTCATTCCCCTTTCCATATTTTGGACTAGTTCCGTTGTTTCTCTCTCACTTGCATTTCCTGTGCACTCTTTCTACTGCACCCCCCCCCCCCCCAACCCCTTCCTCCTAGTTCCTTCAGATTTAGTAATTTCTATTTTCAGTATTCCACATCCTGCAACCACCTCTCTCTCTCTCTCTCTCTCTCTCTCTCTCTCTCTCTCTCTCTCTCTCTCTCTCTCTCTCTCTCTCTCTCTCTCTCCCTCTCCCCCTCTCTCTCACTTTCTCTCCCTCTCCCCCTCCCTCTCCCCCTCCCTCTCCCCCTCCATCTCCCCCTCCATCTCCCCCTCCCCCTTTTAACAGACCTCCCCTATTAGGACATTAACTCAATTACTACTTTAGAAATTAAAATGTACCAATAATTGGTGAGTTTTGAGTTCAACTTCAAATTACATGTTTGTATTTAGGTGTCTCTCAAAAAATGTCCCTGGTCATGTCGAGTAATGAGTCTTAAGATTAACATAAGACCTGAATATTTGCTTGTTAAATCAATTCAACTGAGAACAATTTATGATATTGGTTGCTTCGTTTCACTGAAGGTGGAACCTCTCCTTCAATAGGTTGCATTCATCTTTTTCTTGTCACACCAATACTAATATTGGAATAATTGAAGTTTTAATTGGTCAAAAATACACAATCATGTGAAGAACATCTCCTAGAAGGATAAAAATGTCCTTTCTTTATAACATGCTACAATTTGTTTCTTCTATTGTTTGGCTTATTTTGATAGAATGCGGTGAATTCAAAGATACGCTTATACCAGTATTTGATATTTTAAATGCTCCAACAGGAAGTCATTGTTAATATTATTGACCCAGGAAAGATCTTTGTTTTGCAAATATTTAGTCTACAAGAAATGCATAGTATCAAAGTTGTAAAAAAGTGAACATTTTTAACTCATAATTTTGCAGACAGATTTTTGTAAATGTATGTCCATCCTTTTAATCAGTAGTAAGAAAAGTTGATGTTTGGAAAATCTGTATGTGGCAAATACATGAACAGATTTTCTCTAAAGCGATATAGAACATAATACTCAATCAAAAACCAATATGGGGGCTCTCGTGACCTAGAGGTTAGGGTGTTGGCCGCTCATTCGAAGGTCCCGGGTTCGAGTCCGGGTAGCGACCAAAAAATTATTCTCTAAAATTGTCTCGTTTCACCTCATTGCCTGCTCTCTAGCAATGTTCTATTGTCTGCCTTCGTCTCCTCTTTCTGCCCCACCCCTTCACCTCATTTGCCCCCTCCTCTGGGCTTCTGACTCTTTCTGCAGCCTTTCTACTGCTTCTCCCTGGCTCCTTCTTACTGTTGTCTTTCAGCCACACCCCTGCACCTAGCCTTCTGGGACAAGGGCGAAAATTCTCGGAGGGCCCGTGTGCAGGTTGCGCACGTTAAAGATCCCTTGGTGATTCACAATCGATAAGAGCAGGCTTTGACCGCCACCCGGGCAAATTTCAAAATTCCCTACCAACTGAAAAAGTTTAAAGTGTTCCGCGCGCTCATATAACCTTATGTAGTTGTGAGGGCCGTAAAACACTTTTTTTAAAAACAACCCAAAACCCCACCCCAAAACCCCACCAATATATTGCCTTTTGTTATTGTCGATGGGTGAGGGGTGTCAATGACAGAACCTTCTCGTTTCCTTTCCCCTGTAGTTTGTGCCTGTCTGTCGTATTTTTCCCTTACATTTTGATGATTGTTATTGCCTTGGATGTGCTTTTCTTTGCTTAAACTGTAAAGTTTAATTAATAACTAATTTGACTTCAAATTTATGTTTCACAGAAAGCCAGCACCCACATGAGAAGCCAACAGCTGACAGTCACCCAAGAAGCTGACACCCTGCCCAGACAGCACGGACCTTCCACTCACTCTTAGACAACCAGCCAGACGAATATACTGCCACAGCTACCCTGAAATGGATTTCGGTCAGTTACACCAGCAAACGATAACTGGCAACTATAACAGCTGACTGTGCACTTTGATTTCTCAAGCTTGTGTGAAATTGTGCGGATAGGGCTGTAAAAACATGGACTCAACGACAGAAAAATTCTTTGTATGATGTACTGTTTCAGATATTGTACAGAAGCTGCTTCACATGAGATCACTGAACTAGAAAGATGACGAGACAATTCTATCCCTTTCCTTCAGTCCAAAGTTTGGTGACATCAGACGGTTTGTTCACTTTTCTGGTCCAACAAGTATCAAAGTGGTCTGCTTCTACGATTTCCGTATATCACACTCAGGCTTGAAGTGACGCAGTGGGGCTGTAGAGATAGGCAGATAGGTTGATAGGGAGCTAGGTGGATAGGTTAGAGTCAGAGTAGAATTTTGTAGATATTGCCATGGCCATGGCGGGAGGTAGTTGAGGGGGCAATGTATTTTTTTTTTGGGGGGGGGGAGTGGTTGCAGGGGTAGAATGGTGTGGGTAGAGCTTCCTGCTGATTTTGAGTTTGAGTGTGATGATGTTGGAGTGGCATGTATACTGGATTGTTCCTTAAGGACCACCTGGACGACCAAGAGGAGCACCCGCAGGCAGAACATCTACAGGAGGTATTTGTCTGGGAACTATGTCTCAGTGTTCATTATCATAGTTTTTCGAGTTAAAGGTAAAAGTTTTATTGTTGCAAGATTTATTGGTGGAAAGAGAGAATGATAAAATGTATTTTTACTGAAAGGTTTTTATTAATGACCTTCTGTCCTTTTAAACTGGTGGTAAACCATATTGTAACGACTCTTTTTATATTTTGAAACAAAAATGCAAACTGTATAGACGTAAGACAAAAGTATTAATTGACAAATGATGAAACATATTTTTTGGACAAATTTTAAAAAATGTCTTTGATGCTTTTTAAACCAGTAGCAAAAATATTTTAGCGACAGTTTATTTTTTCACAAAAAGAATACAATCTGTATGTATAGAGGTAAGACGATTGTATTAATTGACATGTCTTCATCACCAGGACCAGCCGCGGACAGGAGGACCAGCCGGAGGAGCACCCACAGACAGGAGGATCTACAGGAGGTATCTGTCTGAGAAATATGTCTTGGAACATTATTTATTAATCATTAAAGTAAGATTAGAAAAATAACTATTGGTTTTGTTATTTCAAGGTGAAAGACTTGTTTTTTGCATTTTGGTGAAAAAGAAAACTAATAAAACATTTCTCCTGACCCGTTTTCATTAATGTCTTTTCTGACCTTTTAACATGCAATTTGAAATCACGTGTCCGCGTAATTCTCTCGTGTTTGTGGAAATGCGACCCGACATATTACGTTTATAAAACCACTTGTTTCGAGTCAAACTCATCAATTAAGCATTACGCAGATGTAGAATTCATTTATCTTTGACTTCCGGGTCAAACTTAAGGCTTGTTAGCTCATACTTTTTTATATTCCACTCGTACCATAATACAATGTCTTCGCATCGATCTAGCCATATGGACCTCGACTGCCGAATGCTGCAACTGTCGAGACATAGATCTAGTTAAACAGTTAAACCAGTAGTAAAAATATATCCCCTCTTGTATATTCTGAAACAAAAATACAAAATGTATAGATACAATACGATTGTATTAATTGACACGTCTTCATCACCAGGACCAGCCACGGACAGGAGGACCAGCCGGAGGAGCACCCACAGACAGGAGCATCTACAGGAGGTATTTGTCTGGAAAATAATATGTCTTGGAACATTATTTGTTAATTAAAAATTAAAACAAAATTTAAAAAATACCCCCCCCCCGGGGTGGTGCCACTGACTGAAGTGTCTGTAGCAGACTGCGGACCTCAAGTCAGTTCTTTTTTTTTTGGTCCGCTCCACAATTTAATTCACTTAACAGGCGGGCGAACGGACTAACTCTAGCACACGATATACTCGACTCGATGTTAGGCCCGCCGTCTATTGTTTGTTAGTTAGGCATAGTGTTTCAAGCCACTAGCGGTGCCACCGGGAGTGGGAGAGGCTGGTGACGTAGCACTATGTGTGTAACCTTTCACCTCGTGTGTGGCTCGCACTGTGTATGTTCCAATTTAACCTGAAGGCGAAGTTTAAAGAATTTGGTTCGATAGTGCCGTAAAACACCTACACAGTCAATCAAAATAGGGTGTAAATAGTATGCAATAGGAGTCGCTCCCCGTCCGTCTGCCAGCCTGCTTGAATGCATGGAGTCTCTCCATTCACCCGTCCGCTCGCTGGCTAAAGGAACTGTTGTCTCTGTCCGATGAGTAGCGAGTAGCGAACTACCCTTCACAAGCGGATGGCTCGTTACCCGTCCGCTTGTTTGCGGGTAGTGCCAGCGAGCGCTTCGTTACTCACGGACGCTGATTTAGCGAGTCTGACCATACTCCAGTTCTTATGTACAGTAGAATTGTAAAAGGACAGATTCAACAATGTCATGCTCATAACTGTGCCTGAACTACAACAGGCAACTGCTTCTTTTACTTTCCCAATCCTTACTATCGTCATTTTCCTCTACTTTTTTATGTTTGTCACACTCTTGTGACCCACTATTTCCGGGGTGCTTTGAAAGTCGAAAGAGACTTTGTGCTGCTGAAGCCAGAGAGGTGAGCAGAGTAAGTCTGATTCCCTGTAAAAACTTCTCTGTTGACATCCACCCCATGGTGCTCATATGACATTATGCAGTTGTGAGCGCCGTATAACCTCTACAAAAAAAAAGAACAAAGAAAAATATATTGATTCTTTTGATTTAAAGGTAAAAGTTTTATTTTTACATTTAGCTGAAAAGGGAAAGTAATAAGAGGCCTACGTATTTACTGACAGACTTTTTATTAATGTCCTTTTAAACCAGTACTAAAAATATATCAGCTCTTTATTTTCTTAAAGAAAAATGGAAACTATATAGATGTAAGACGATTGTATTAATTGACACGTCTTCATCACCAGGACCAGCCGCGGACAGGAGGACCAGCCGGAGGAGCACCCACAGACAGGAGCATCTACAGGAGGTATTTGTCTGGGAAATATTATGTTTATGTCTTGGAACATTATGGATCAATTACCTACTTTTACTTTTCATCCTCTGTTGCCATTATGCATAGAGGGGAGATGCAGTTTTCTATGGTAGGCCAGCTCCGCAGCTCTTTCAGTTCGGATACTATGATTTATCAGGGCTTCCTTGACAACTTCAATTCACCTTTTGTGTGGCCTTCCTCTTCCTTTATAGCTTGAGTGCTTGGTGTTATAGGTTCTCAAGGCTGGCTGGCTAGGTAACATACGTAACAGGTGGCCGAACCATTTTGTTGTCTTTCTATGAAATGCAGTCAGATGTCCCAGTGCAAATAGCATAATGTAATCAAACATTGAAGTGATGTTAGAAAAATAAATCTATTTATTTTAAAACAATTTTCAAGCTGTAAGGCTTTTAAGTGCATTTCGCTGAAAAGGAAAAATAAAAAACGTATTTACAGATGTCTATTAATGTCCTTTTAAACCAGTAGTGAAAATATAATATCAACTCTTTATTTTCTGAAACAAAAATGGACACTGTAGAGCCACAAGACAATTGTATGAATTGACATGTTTTCGTCACCAGAACCAGCCACGGACAGGAGGACCAGCCGGAGGAGCACCCACAGACAGGAGCATCTACAGGAGGTATTTGTCTGGGAAATATGTCTTGGAACATTATTTGGTAATAGTCGAACCTGTGTAAGACGGCCACCCATTGTCGAGGAGAAAAGTGGCCGTATAAGACAGTTGTCTTGGGCAGGACTGATCAAGATGAAGAAAACAAACCATTCCTTTCTGAGGTCTCTCGAAAGTAGCTGCATTGTTGTTGTTATTGTTGTTGTTATTGTTGTTGCTGAAGTTTTTTCTTTCTCTTTTTTTTTCTTTTGTTGCTGCTTTTGTGCGAGGGCGACAATGAAAGGAAAAGTGTCAGACAAGGAGGACCAAGTGCTATGGTAATAAAAGAAACTCATGGGTCGCCACCACGAGGAGAACAAGCGATGCTTCTGTCACAAGTTCTTGTTGACGTCCATTGTTACTTTGTTACAGACAGGGTAAACAGTGACCACTCATCTCACGATTTTTGTTTGAGTTTTGGGCGGGGCTTATGGGTTATGAGGTATCACACGCTTACCCCACCAGCAGATGAAAATTTGTTACCTATTGGTCAATAGTGGGAGGGGCCTACGCAACATGATCGGTTGGAGTTGGAGGGACATTAAAAACGACAGGGGATTTAATTATGACGGCTCCCCCCACAACGCCAGGGGCCAATGCACAATTTATGACAAAACGTAATGGAGTCACTAAGGTGGCCGTCTAAGACAAGTGTTATTGTTTGGTGTGATAGGGGCTGTGTGTTAAAATATGATGGCCGCGGCCGAGTTGGACAGGTGCCCGTTTTACAAAGTTAAATTATATAGAAAAAAACCAAGGGGGGAAATGGAAAGTGGCCGTTTTACAGGTGGCTGTCTTATAGAGGTGGCCGTCAGGGTAGGTTCGACTGTATTTGGTAATTTACTATTAAAGTAAAATTAGAAAAATACCTATTGGTTTTTCTGATTACAAGTACAAGGAAAACATTTTTTTAATGTTTAGGTGAAAAAAGGAAAAAGATGAAACATATTTTTGGGACAAATTTTTTAAAATGCCTTTGATGCTTTTTAAACCAGTAGCAAAAATATTTTATCGACAATTTATTTTTTCACAAAAAGAATACAAACTGTATGTATAGATGTAAGACGATTGTATTAATTGACACGTCTTCATCACCAGGACCAGCCGCGGACAGGAGGACCAGCCGGAGGGGCACCCACAGACAGGAGCATCTACAGGAGGTATTTGTCTGGGAAATAGGTCTTGGAACTCTATTTGTTAATTCACTATTAAAGTGAAATTAGGAAAGTACCTATTGTTTTTTATGATTTAAAGGC